GCTGCATGGCTGCGCGGTCCTATACCTGAAAGGGCATCCAGCGGTGATCCCCTGGCCTTGTGAGGGGGGCCAGCCAGCAACTGGGGCCCCGGAGCCCAGTGACTCTAATCTAGACTTCGTGAAGAGCAGCAGCTCCGTGGTCTGAAAAGCCAGGGAGTGGGGAGTGAGAAGACCCGGGGTCTCAGCCTTTCTCTGACGAGTGCGACACTGGGCCATCAACTGTCCTTCTAAGCCTCGTTTTCCTCATGTTAGAAAGCAGCTTCACAATTTCTTGGAGCTCTGAAACTCTGATTCTGGGGTACCAGGATTTTTTTCAGCCTGAATTCTGTGACCAGGAGGTTAAAGTTGTCTCGAGTCATTCAACACAGGCTACTAAGTCAGCTCCACTCTGCTTAAAGAAGGAAAACTCTTATTTATCACTTGCTTACCATGACCCAGTTACTGTGCCAGGTATTTTCAGATAGATAGCATTCCAGTCTCAGAACAAATCCTGCCAAGTATATATTTTATCTCCATTGCTCTACCTGAAGACACCAAAGTTATGAGCAGAGGCATCCTGGTGTAGTGGAAACTGAGTAGACTGGGAAAGATTCCAACCCGTTAATATACCATCAATTCCACCTACCGATTAGGCGGTGGTTCTAGGAATGTTACTGCCTGTAAAATGGGAATCATCAAAATAGACTTGCTCTGCAAAGTCATTGTAAGTGTGTAAAGCACATAGTACAATACATATCATGGCACATAGTAAGTGCTCAACAAATGGAAGCCATTTATGTTATTGTCAGGTTCATACAGCAATTACAGGCTACACAGGAAAAGAAACCCCAGTATTATTCCCCTACACGGAGCTGCTTCTCAGCCTTGTCAGCACAATGCTATTGCTGAACATTTTGGATGTGTCTAGATCCTATTCATAGTATAATAGCATTTTTACCTGTTTTTATCTTAACCCTAAAGCCCAGAGCTGGCCTGGCATTCACAGCTAGACCATCCTGTTCCCCAGTAGAACAAAAACAATTTCGCAGGACACCATCAGCCAAGGCCATTGTGCTCATGGTAAATCAAAAACAAGACCACTTGTAATCATGTCTGAACTCATACACAAAAATGAACATCGCCCAAACCACAAAAATGATCAAACAGACCCCATCCCGGCTAATATAAGTGACTGTCACTTCTTTACATCTCTCTTTTAGCCTCACCTCATTCTTCTTCTATTTTAGGTAAGAATTAAAATGCCTGGTCAGAATTATCACCAATTCCTGCTAGTATCAATCCAAAGTGATGGTCCACTTCGTTGAACCTTCCTCAAATCACCTAACACAAGCCCAAATCCTATGTCATTTCTAACACTTTCTTACTGAGACACCTCACAGTTCCCCCAATGAGTGTTCTCCCTTATTGCAGCATGTTAGTAAACCCAGATTTATCCAGCTACAGGTGGTTCCTCGTGAGCTTTGGCTGGAGAGCCCTGACATTCCTAAAAGATATAAAGACAATAAATGGTATCTTATTTTTAGAGGCAGATACAACTGTAAGCCAGATTCTTAAGGCAGTCATTTATAGGTTCCTGAGGTAAAAACCCACTTAGATTATGGACTGTCAACCAGTATTTCTAAATCGAGTGGGGAAAAGTGTAGAAGTAGGGAGGACTAGGGCAGAGAGTATGAATATTAGAATCAAAGTATCTCAGAACTGCAGAGAGACTTATAGAACATCTGATTCCTACTTCATGGTGAGATAAGAAAAATAAGAATTATATTGAGTCTTTTATGAAGCTGAATTTATTCAATTTAAAGAACAGTCCTTTATTCTGAGACTGTGTCCTTCATTACCAACTTGGATTTTAAAATGCCCTTTCTTTTATGAAGATTGTAGTGGTAGATAATCTTTCTTTTTTAATAGCCTCACTTGGCAAGATTAGTAGACCGTTCTATCTTGCCCTCCCCCTGCCCCTTTTTAATCTATTGGTCCGCCAAATCCCAAAGTTGAGGAATCACTGATAGAATAAATATATAATGCTAGCTAATATTAAGTGCTTCCTATGAGTTAAGCCCTTTCCATCAATTATTGATCACCAACCCCCACCACCCCTCCCACAAAAATCTATGTGTGAGAACTACTTTTACAGATAAAGGAGATCAAGAGAGATCAGGCTGTAATTGCTAGAGGATGGTTCAAACCCAGGCAATATAACCCTACAGACCACATACTTACTCTTTCTACTATTTCTTTAGACAAGCCACTTAACCTCTCAGAAATAGTTTCCATCTATATATAATGGGGGGGGGGCAATATTACCTATCTCATTGGGTTATTGGAGAGATTAAAAAGTAACAATATTTTAAAACCAAGCAGAAAATCTAACATAAAAAGACACTTAATAAATACTATTTCCACATTCATCTGCAGACCTAATCAGTTATTTTCCACTTGACCAAGTTCTATTTTCTCATTAATTGTATGAAGTGATTCAACCTATAAAGTATTATTACCGTTCATTAGCTATCATTTAGATGCATACTTCAGCCTTGTTTAAACAGGTAAATATGGTAGATGCCTCATTTGTTTCTTCAGGAATTCCACTGATTTTAAAGTCACACTGGCCTGGGTGGTACTATGTTATACTGGCAACTGTGTATTCCTAGAAGCAAAGAAAAGCTAAGCCTCCTATTTGAGACAGTTCTCATCCCAGTAATCCTTTTTTTTTTTCAGGAACTCCCCCTGGTGTGAGACCTACACGTACAGTAACTTACGTAGTAATCGCTTTCACCAATAGAATCACTTTTTTGTTTAAAAGTATCCAGGTGTAAAACATAGGGTTCATACTAAAGAAATATTTTCCACTGGTCTGACATTTTCGATTTCCCATTTTGTTCTGAAAAAAAAATTAAGTATTTCAAAAACAAGGAAGTAGATAACAAATTTTGCCAAAGGTTTACTACAATGAGGACAGAAAAATGACCACTAGGTTAGAAACAAGCAGGACACTGGAAACTTTGACAGATGCAATTTTAGTAAACATATACTCGAACTTTTTACTAAAGTAAATTGAATTCTACTATAGGATTCTACCGTTATAAAGCGTTGCAAGCAGACCAATGGCCACTGAAAGATGTCCATGTCCTAATGGCTGGAACCTGCGAATGTGGCCTTACATGGCAAAAGGGACTTTGCAGATGTTTTTAAGTTAAGGATCTTAAAACTGGAGAGATTATCCAGGTGGGTCCAATATAATCAGAGATGTCCTTTTAAGTGAAAGAAGGTGGCAGAAGACTCAGATTTGAAGATGCTATGTTGTCGGCTTTAAAGATGGGGAAAGGACCATGAGCCAAGGAATGCCAGTGGTCTCTGGAAGCTGGAAAAAGGAAACAGATCCTCTCCTAGTTTCCGTAAGAAACGCCCCTCTGCCAACACCTCGACATGAATTCAGACTCATTTCAACCTTCTGATCGCCTTAACTATAAGCTAAATTTGTTGTTTTAAGCCACAAATGTGTGGTAATTTGTTACAGCAGTGATAGAATACCAATCCCCAAGGATACCAAACACTGGTTGTTCCTACAGCCTGCCAGGCGGTCTACACAGTTAGTATGTATGAGACTATCACGACAAACAAGGTTACCCTTAGGCGCTAACCTAGTAAAATCCCTAAAAACATGCCCTCTGTTGTTAGAAGCAGGCAACAGTCATAAGCAACTCTTACTAAATCCGGCAAAAGCCAAAAAACCTAGAATGACAGAACCGGCTAACCAGAGAATGTGCAAAAAAGCCTAACCGCCTAATAATTACTACAACACTGTCAACCAGGTATCTGACCAACAAGAACATTCTAGTCACACAAGTATAAGCCATGGTTTGACAGAGCACCATGGCCAGAAATTCTTCAACTTACAAACTCAAAACAACTTTTACAGATTTCCAGCTGTATGGCCGCCAGTGATGCTGTAAACATGTATCTGTACAAGGTCTTCAGACTTTAAGGAACCGAAGTAGAAGAAATTCCCTTTGGCCATAAACTTCATAAATACCAAGCCATTTCAAAATTCCAGTCTGGTACATACAAACCTCAACTTTATTTAGGAAAAGTCAGACTGTGATTGGAGTCTGAGTGATCTGTGGAACACCGACAATACTGCCACTGCCAAGCAGAGGACCAAGCACGTAGCAAGTTGACAGGATAATATGAGCTCCTAGGAGACAGGGTGTGGCCCATCAGTTGGCTCTCCCAGCGACACACCTCTCTTGGCCCTCTCAGGCGGTCACAGCCTACCATGCTTTCTTCCAGTTACCAAAAATCCTCAAAAACTTATCTTATTCTTTGGTTGGCTACTTCTTTTAAGGAAGAGTCATCAAGAGTCATTCACGAGATAAATGAGAGAAAAAGCAAGATGTATTCATTTGTCTAGAGAATTTCCCAATTACTAGTTCAATATTCCCTCCCTATTAAAAAAAATAAATGTATCACAAGTCCAAAGTCAGTTGACCCATTTTATTAGAAGCTTGGTCCAAAGGCTTTTTGAATAGCATCTGAACTTTAAAGGATAACGTAAAATAAACATTGCAAAAATCTTATCTGTATATACACACATAGAGGTGCACTAATGTGCATTACTGTTCACTCAACCTTAACAGATTTCTGGTGGCAGTGGTATATTTTGAGTAATTTTTCTATCTTTCTGCTAATTCTGAATTGCTTTATTTATTTTTTATAACTAGCATGTATCATTTAAGTAAATCATTATTCTGAAGTTTTTTTAAAAGGCAAGTCAAGAATTTCTATCCATCGAGGAGGAAGAAAAGTAAATGCAACTCTAGCAAAGCACATGGAAATTTCAAAAATCCAGAAGTAACTGAACTTCAAAATTAGGAAACAATATGTTCACTATAGATTCTCTAATCAGGTTATCTTTTGATATAGTTATAATGAAAAAAAAACTTCCTGGAGATTTCCATTTATAAAAGTCAAATCTACCAATTCTCAAGAAATACACAGAGTTTTGTTTTGGAGTCATTTTATTGAGACAACTAAAAACAATTAGATGTTCAAAGCAATGTAAAATGAAAAAGAAATCAAACCAGGTACTTTACCATGTATTCCCTCTTCTTTTTAACTAAAGCAAAAAAAACAACTTTCTGCTTTAAGGGAAAAGCCAGAAAAATAGGCCACTATATTTTCTTTCTTCATAATATCATTAACAGCCACAAGAAATCTAACTGTGATAAGAGAAACTGGATGTTGGCTTGCACACATTCATTAAAAAGACAACAAGTCATCATTCTACAAGGTGTATCTCCATCTGCCTTCAGCTGATAGTCCTGCATTTTCACTTACAGTTTCCACCTCTAAGTTGGTTAGTTCCAGCACTGGAGCTAATTCATTTTCCTCATTATTTACTGCTCATCTTTGCCATAAGCAGAGAGTAACTGGAGGCTGATGCTTCTCTCTGCTTGCTTGTTTTAGTCCATAAGTTATACACTATGTGTAGGATCTGCCAGAGGCTCAGGCCTTAACTTCAGGAGTTGAGCTATAGATGGAATCTGAATTCTCTGAAGCAATTTCTTCTACAGTTAAAAAAAAAAAGTCACATTAGTCAACTTAACAAAGGAAAGAAGCAAATCTACATTTATGTGTAACAAGGGAATAAAAAAGATTTTTAAAATGTGCTGAGGAAAGGAAGCACAAGAGAAGAGGTGGACGTGCCAGTAAGGACGAGGCTCAGGCCACTGAGGCAGCAGCTAAGAAAGAGTTCACGCATTTTCCCCATTGAACTCTTTCCCACCACAGCTTCACCTCCAAGGGGCCCCTCTTCCGGACTAAATTTTCAATGACTTTGACGAGCCGAATTAATGTCAGATCTTTGAAAGATCTGGTTTCCTCCTTTATTTATACTATATTTATACTTCAAACAATATTAGATGATGAGGGCACATTACAATTTGTAACTCTAGATTTGAGAAAGAGCACTTGGCATGTAGTGAGTGCTTATTAAGTGTTAAGTAACAATTACAATTGTAACAATTTATTTATTTTGGGACCTACCTCCTAAGTTAGACTCTAAATTCTCTAAGAGTAACAGCATTAATCATGTCCGTACTTGCTCCCATGCAGTAGGTTTTTAAACATTTGTTTTATAAACATGTACATATAAATACATAATGTTCAACCTTTCCATTATTTAAATATATGTTCATAATGATTAAACTTCCCGTTGTCAATAAGTAAAGCTAAAATACACTTCAATTTTCAATCCACCAGGACTCTATAAAAGTTAACTGTTAGTATTTACCTAGCTCCTCTTCTGCTGTCTCTGGAAAACTGATCTTCGGCTTTGCCAGCTCACCACTATCTTCTTCTATGAAAAGGAAATGATGAGCATGTGAATTACAATACTACCAGCAATTTCAAGCAGTTAACGAACAAGAAGAGTATGCTAAGACTATGCCAAGCAATGAGCTACAAAATGTAACAGGAACAACTCTTTTTTAAGTAACTATGATTATAAAACAATATGCTTTCCTCAACTACTACTCTTAGATCTATATTACAACTACTTTGGGGTCAAAAACTCGGTATTTTTATTAAAAATATGTCTGCTTTATTAGTAAGGATCAGCAAGTAATACTATGAAGAGATTAAATATACTCACTTATAATTCTTTATATTGCCCTCCAGCAAATTTTGAATTAGGTCCATTCCATTCACCAAATGATTTAGTGTAAAAACTTAGGAACAGAATAGATTGTATGATAAAAAAATTTAAACAAATGAACACACTGCCAATTTATAATCATGGGCTTCTCTTTGCTTAAACCATATTATACAATGTAAAATCTATAGAAGACAGAAACACTAAAACAGAAGTAATGATGAAAAATGATACAAAGTCATGAACAAAAATTCTTACCAGGAAGCACACATTTCCAAAGGCCATACGTTTTTCCTACCACAGTTTGCCATAGTCTCAGTGTTCCATCCTCAGAACCACTGGCATAGAGTTCTCCATCAGGACTAAATCTCACACAGTGAATAGGACCAAAGTGTCCTTTGTAGGATTCTGAGAAAGAGGAGGAGGGCTATTAGATCATTTACTACTTGAATATTACATTAAATATTGATAAACTAAATAAAATACTGTCTATATTATTGGAAAGATGTGAAATTCATTAGAACAAATTCAAAGAACTATACCTAATTAAAAATAAACTGATTCTCATCACAAAGTGGTATTTCATGCCTATCATTTCTTAAAAAAAAAAAAGCTTCCTGCTTCAATAAAGATAAAGAGAAAATGAACCCCCCTCTACAATCTACAGAAAGCAGACCTAAATTCTATCAATTCAACCCCATTTCCAAATCCTAAACTCTATTTATGAGGGAACCGAGTCTTATTATAACTACAGAGAACCACCAGATGGAGCTCTTTTACACACTCCGCCTCTTCATTTCCTATTAGACTGTCTGGAGTCCAGTAGTCATTCTGCCACTCAGAACATAAAGACACCAAGGTCAATGCTGACCCTATACGGAGTTTACTGAGAAAACAAACAGATTAGCAGCAGTGTTGCTCTGTTTAGGGCATATCCTTATTTGTGAACTTTTCTCATTTATTCTAGTGCCTCAGCACCTTACCAGTTTTCAAAGTTCTTCACTAGATCAATATTCCTGTTCTGTCTTCAAGCCTATTCAACTTAAGGACACTGAAGCACTGTCTTCCCTCAGAATATCACGAGAACAGTACCATGAGAATAGAAAGAATATGAGATCTTAGAGAGAATGGCTGGGTCCAAGGCCACCAAGTATTCACTAAATGGGACCCCCGAAATCAGGCAAGTAATTTACTTCTCTTTTTCAAAGAGAATAAAACATGTGGCCAAAACATTCTAAAACTAATCTTATATAAAAACAATGGAAAAGAATCTCTTATTTAAAAGTCACTTATATTCAAGCAATAAAGGGTGGACCATAAGCATTTAAAATAGATTCCATATGGTCCATTTGCCCAACTCAAATCCATCAATTTTCCCAAAGACACAAAACATAAAATTGTCTTTTATTCTTTGTACGCAATTCTAACAAGTTTAAATAAGTTCACTGGATGGTAAAACAGTATAGCTAGAAATAAAGTGGTAGCTAAAAAATTCACTGAGGTGTTAATTTAAGTCTTAATTACATTTGAGAAAGGCAACTACGTCATTTTAAGGGCAGAAAAAGGACAACTCACCTAATTCTTCCCCACTATTATAATCATACTTATAAAGTTTAAAATCTTCACCACCTGCAACAAGAAATTCTTTCTCAGGATGAAGAGATGCAGAATTGATGGTTGCAGGTGCTTCAAAGGATTTAATTGGGTCCAAACTAGAAAAAAATTTAAATAATATTAATAAATTTTGAATATTATGTAAATAATACAATAATTAGTTACATTGAAACTAAACTCTGCTACCCAAGGAACAATTTAATAGTCATTTAGTCAAAGATAGTGACGTTAAAAACAAAACAAATAAGAACAAACCTCTAAATAATACTAGCCAAAAAAAAAAAAAATCATAAGGATACCATGCTCAAATGGAGTTCATCCCCAAAATACAAAGACACTTCCACAGAGGAATATCCACCTTTTGTGTGGTGACTATCTTCCTGTAAATGAGTGTGCTGGCTAATTAAAACTGTATGGCTAATATATTTGGATTTTTGCTTTGAAAAAAATTTAATTCTGCATTGTTTGATTCTTCCATGACAAGCACATATTACCTTTGTAAATAAAAAAAGCTTTTACAGTAAGTAATTAATATAAAGGATTATTTGCAAATTATTTTCACCTCCTCAGAATTTGTAAGTTTCTGCAACAGGAAAAATTAATGCCATGAAAAAAAATACCTGCTAAAAATGGCTCAGTTTTTACTATCAGACTATAAAAGAACAACTAAATAAGAGACTGTAGCAATGCAATAACAATCAATGCATAACACAGGCTTCACCCAAATATCAATGAGTTTGGACATCAGCCCCGTGGCAGTCCTTAGAGGCCTCCAACATAAAACACTAGAGCACCCCAGCTCCTAACGCTGCCACCTCACTCCCATCACCGCACTGCAGAGCACGAAAGTGAAAGTCAGGCATGACTTACGCAGGATCATGAGTAGCAAATTTCTGGCTCAAATGTTAGAATATTTAATAGGCCAGCAAACCTCTGCCACCAAAATGGGATTTAAGGCAACGTTTTATAGTAGGGTCGCATGCTGCCCAAATCCAGAAGCAACCAATGAACACAGCTATACAATTTAATGGTTCTGGGCAGTAACGTTCTACTATCATCAGTTCATCGTGTGCATGGGCTCCTTTACATTCTTAATTGCTCTTCTCCATTCTGACTGCCGTCTCTTTCCTTCTGTCATTCAGTGAAGCTTATCAACTCTGCAAATGAGCCTTTAGAGGAAAGGTCAGGACTGCTGGTCAGAGTATAATGTGGTATTTTCTTTATGGAAATCAAATAAGTGGCATGTGTACTAAGAACTTTAAACACACTCCTACCCTGTGTTTCGTTTGTTTCAAACTAGTTTACTTAAAGATTCCACTTTCACTCTTCAACAGAGTTTATGTATTTCTCATGTGCTGCTTTACTCATTAGTTCATCTACTTCTGAAGGGTTACTCAGTGTCACCCTCATCAGCCAACCATCTTCATAACAGGAACTGTTGGCAAGTGCTGGATTTTCTGCAAGAGCTTCATCAATTTCAGTTACTTCTCCTAACAGAGAACAGAGTTCACTAGTAGCTTTCACACTTTCCAAAGCATCAAACGCATCCCGTTTGTTCAATTTTGTCCCAACTTCAGGCAGACTATAGTAAACTATACCTCGCAAAGCTTCCTGGGCAAAACTGCTGATTCCTACTGTTCCAATCCATTTTCTGTTGTTACCCAGTCATGTTTGTCTGTGAATCTACACATGAAGAGCAGAGCAAGGCCAGCAGCTTCCAAATGGTGCCCACCCTCAGCCCCCAGGGCCATGGAGGGCAAGGAGGGGAGGTGCCCAAGGTGGTGCACAGGGTGCACACAAACATTCCTACCCTTTGAACTGATAATTCTACTCACAGGATTCTCTTGCAAGGGATCACTCAGAGAGGTACCATAAACCTCACTGTGTTGAAACAGGGGAACTGACACATAATTTGGTATAACCTATAATGCAGTACACCTAGTAAAAATGTTTTCAAAGAATTTTAATGCCTAAGAATATTTAAAAATAAAAAAAATAAAAATTATACTCATTAGGGTCCTAGTAACTAAAGAAAAAAACCCACACAAATATACATACACACAACAAAGAAAAAAGACTAGCAGAAAAGACAGCTACCATCAACTTTCTGGCACCTATGGCTATAGGATTATGGGCACATTTTAAAAAATTGTTATTTTCCAAATTTTGAAAATCATTTAATATATAGTCACAAAAATTAAGTCTCTTTTAAAAATAATCATTAGGTCTACGCTATATTCGGCAATAGAAAAAAAATCACTACTTCCCTATAATTTTAAAGTGAAATAGCAGAAGCAAGATGCAGTAATGAACAACATTAATTACAGCACGAGCTCAGTGATCCTCCTAGGAAAAATACAACTTAAAAGCTGTTCAGTTTTACCAGTAAGTGTCCTAATTATCTGGGAGTGAATTCAACTCCTTTGATCAAGGTACACCACATTCTTTAAAAAACACATTAATAGCTATAAAAATATTTCCCTCCACATTACGAAGCATAAGCCAAGATATGCCTTTAAAAGAGTTAAATACATTAGCATAGGCCTTCCAATTTTTAAGAACCCTAAACTGTCCTTTGATACCAGAAAAGAAAATGAAGGTGTTTCTTGGACATACCTTACTGCACTGTGAAAAGCAATAGATCGTCCATAAGTTATTACCAAGATCTCCCCCTCAGGAATATATTCCATACTGCTAACAGACATATTAAAATTTAGAGATTTCACTTCCGTCATGGTAGCGTGATCCCAAAGGCTGCGGTGGGGGGGGAAGGGGGGAGAGGAAAATAAGATGGTATTTATTCATTTAAGAAAAAAGCTTCTACCTTATATTGTACCTGCAGATTAACCGATGAAAATGATCACAACTTCAGTAAAACAACCTCCATTCTAACTCATAAATTACAGGTGATATTGAGAGATTTTCGGTTCCTATAAGACATCAAATTACCTGGTAGCTTGTTGGTGAAGTCAACATTAATACTTTAAATACACTTTGCAAATGATTCAGCAGAACTATGCCATTAAGGCATTTATTTCCTTATCTAATAATGAGTTGTAATGTCGCTCTAAGTAACAGTTTTTACACTCTATCTTCGTGAAACTCCAGTTCTTACACTCTATTTTCGTGAAACTCCACAACAGCTATTTATCTTTCATAAGAAAAATACATTAGGAGTCAGCTTACAAAATTCTGTATAGAATTCAGGGCTTTAACGGACCCCTATGGCAGCCTGTCCACTGACCCAGGTTAAGTGCACCTGCATATAAAGGTGTCAGTAGTTGTAGTTGTCTTGTGAATTCTACCCCATGTTTATAAGTAAATGGATAGTTCCAGAAAAATGTCACCTATGTGCAGCCTAAGTTGTAATGTTCAGAGGCAATTCTTCCTATATAGTAGTTACAAAAAAATTTTAAATATAAACTCCAAGGTCAAATACTTTTCAAACTTTAAATTATTAAAGAAAAATTACTTACCGAACAGTTTTATCATCAGCTGAAAGAATCTGTTTATCCTCACTGCACCATAGAGCCTTTTTAATACCAGAGGTATGACCACTGATTTCCTTAGGTTCTTAGGATGAAACAATTTAAAATATACTTGTTAATATTTGACTTTTAAAACTGAGCAATATTGGGGCAAAAAAATGTTTTAAGTTAGTCTGCAACTTTTCAAAGCCCAGCACAACTCAAACTTGATGTTTACCCAGAATACACTTAGTTTTTTCTGAACTGAAACAAACATGTATCTGCATGACAAGGACCCAAGAACTATGATGCTATAGGTAGCTGGGATTGAGTACACCACTCTCTCCAGTCAACATTTCTGCTTTCAAAAGCAGTATTGTATTGCAGTGAAATAAAAAAACTAATGTGACATAATAATTTAATAAGAACACTGACACTCAGAACAAGAGAGCCTGAGCTAATTCTAGTGCTATCACTTATGCTAGGACCTTCAAGCCACTGCTGGCAAAGCAAAGCATCAAAAGAATCTGTCTCTGTTGGAGACTTCCCCTTCAGAAGACTGAAAAAACAAAAAACAAAACGCTCATTATCTCTGGGCAAAGCACATGTTGGAGGCAATATCACTCAACACAACTTTGACTTGGGCAAGTCACTCAACCTTTCGAACACTATGTTTCTTCACCTGTAAAATGGGATAACAATAATTACTATACCTCAGAGGTTAAGAATCCAGTGGGAATATACAACTAAAGTTTCTTTTTTTTTTTGCCTTTTTTTCTCTTTTAAAAAAATAGTGATCGATTTACTATAGGTATCTTACATTAAATCCCCTCAAGCGACAGCATCT